CGGACTACTACAGCCCTGTCCCAAGCTGTAAAGTTATATAAAGTATATCTATACTGATGGGATCTATCATATTATAGATATGAAATAAGCTTGTTAGATTTTGTCCTTTAAAGATGTACTGTACTAACACTAAAACCTAGAAATGAGTGTGCATATATATGCTGAGGCATACACAGAAGAAATCCAACAAAGAAATGTAATGAAATCTATACAAAAATTAGTAAAGCAGGGCATGCCCAGAAGTGTCTATCTAGTTTTGGACAAAAGCTTATCACTTGTTTCTCTTGCTTATCTCATTCTGCAGATAAGATATCTGAAGCCTAAAGAAGTGAGGAGACTTGGACAAGTTCAGACAGGCTGTGTAGATCAGATCTAGGCCCTTTAATTCCAAATTCAGCGCTACTTCTATCATACTAAGCTGCTTAAGGAAGCAGGAAAATAGAGAATAAATTTTGTGCAGTGTCATTAAAATTAAAAAAGTTCTTGAATGGGTAATATTTTTTATTTCCTGGAAAACTCACTCATACATAACAGTCTACTAATGTCATATTATTCATTCATTCATTCATTCCACAAGAGCTTATTAATGAGAGAATTTGTATATGTGTGTTCATGTATAAATATTCATGTATATGCATAAAAGAACATTTTATCTTACTGCATTTGAAATAATGTATAAATTATATATTATATAATGTATAAATAACGTATAAAACTTCTGGTTGTCAAATAAAATGATTCTTGGAAGACATATTTATACAAAGAGAAAGGTAACAGAACTGAGGAGAGGGAGAGGGATAATTAATATCAATGTCTTTAGAACCACCTTGGGCTAAAGTGTGTTGGCTTTGTCAATTAGTAGTGTGCCGCCTTTAACAAAGTCTATGGGCCTTCACTCCCATAACATAAAAATGTGAGGGTTAGACTAGATGATCTTCAGAGATTATTCCATTTTAACAATCCAGAAGTCAGTGTAAGAGAGAGACAGAGAGACAAAGAGAGAGATAAACAAAGAAATAGAAAAGCAGAGAAAGAGCAGGAAGGGAGAGAGAGAGAGAGAGAGAGAGAGAGAGAGAGATAACATAGCTTTAATTTGCTAAAATTGATATGAACAAATATAGCAGTGGGTACTAAGATACTTTCTACTAAATTGTTAACTGCTTTGAGGGGAAGAAACATGTTTCTTCCTCATGCCCTAATACAGTAAATGCTTACTGGGCGGTTCTGAATTACCTGATAAGAGAGAGGTAGAACTCTCTCCCTTTAACAGGTGGGTATTTGAACAAGGACTTTTCAGAGATAATTCATTAATGCAAACAAATGACTCAACTGAGAGGGTTTCACGAGAGGCTGATTAGGGACAGAATCTCGAGGAAAAATGCTTTCTGAAGTCCCTGAAATAATGCCCTAGCTGTAAATGCCAAATTCTAGTCATATTGAAAGCTACTCTGCAATGAAGAATATCTTTTATAAGCTATACATCTCCTCCAGGGCCTAGCATGTTGTCCTTTACAAAGCAGGTATTTAATAAATGTTTATTAAATTAAATTGATTTCACAGAGAAAGAAGTAAATGCGGTCCCACAGTTTGAGGATTTTGAATTTAAGTTTTAAACTGACACGAGGCCACTTTGGTTATTGCTACAGAGGCATAGCAGGAAGAAAACTTGCAAAGGCATAGCTAAAGTTTTATTTTCAAAGCCATGAAAAAGTTTTGTAAAACTTGATTCCTTCTCTGACCAACACCAATGTCACAAAGTCTGTTGGGTTTACCAGTGGTGCCTACCAGCTGCAGCCCCAGACACCTCTCTACACACTCGCAGCCCACAAAATTGTTACTGCTTGTTTGGTAAAAGCTTTCTGCATAATTTGTAACACTCTCTGCCCCTTTCAAAACTGCTACATCTCAAGCTATGACAACCCTGAGAATAAAAGGACAGCATAACGAGATCCTGATTAAGTGAGAGGTAGCATAGAAAATAAAATTTCCTATGTCAAGCAGTACAGCACAATTCTCCAGTTCTTCGGTAAGTAAAAAAGTCAGTGGCACCATTTTTTGCGTGTTTACAGCAGTGAGGTCAAACTCAAATACAAAGTATACAGTGTGGGCTGCACATTGACTTAGTTTAAAAATGTAATATTTAAAATGTTATAACTTACTGTATTTTAGTGTATTTTGTTAAATATTCCCCAATTACATTCTCATGTAGCTCGGGTTCCATTTGGTAGTATTGTGGGCCACTGTGGGCTGTATGTTTGGCACCTCTGGTTTACAGTAATGTTTAGGACAGTTAGAACATGATGGTATCTAAAGTACCTTCTAATACCTACATTCCAATCATCTGCGATGCTTTGATGCTAATGATACCGAGTTTACTTTTTCAATTTCAGTTTAAATCAATAAACATCACTAGGCTCCCTGGCGAACAACTGCACTCTTAGCTATAGCCAACTGCTATTGGTTACATATGTGACTAGTAGAGAGAATATGGATGTAATTGATACAAGGCGTTAGAGATTGAAAGCATGTTCACTATTACCACTACTGGTAAAAACAAAACAAAACAAAAAACAGATAAAACCCCCCCCCCCACACACAAACATTATTAGTGAGTCATCTTCGAACACCAAAGGTAGAATTTTATAGTAGGGTCTACGATTTTTCCTGCCAGAAAACTATACAATTTATATTTTAAAGTTATTCCCTGGGGCAGCTAGGTGGCACAGTGGATAGATCACTGGCCCTGGATTCAGAAGGACCTGAGTTCAAATCCAACCTCAGACACATAACACTTACTAGCTGTGTGACCCTGGGCAAGTCACTTAACCCCATTGCCTAACCAAAAAAAACAAACAAAAAAAATTATTCCTTACCACATGCCCACATATCCACTGGTTTTCCATAGGGATCTTTTCGTAACACCTCTGGGGAAAGATATCCAGGTGTGCCAGCAAAGCCTGGGAGAAAGTACAAGTATTATAGAAAATATGATTTTTTTTCTGATAAAAACACTACTTTTTTTTCTTGGCTTTCAAGATACTGTGACATGTTGTCTTCAAAGGAAATAAAGATGGTAGCACTATTACTACAGATCAGCCCCTTTTCACGGTTCTGTCAATAGTTATCTGTCCTGGCTTGTAACATTGTTGGAAACAGGATCCATTTTCTAGCTCAGAAGGCAAATGAGCCTTGTTGTACAGAGTTCTGGCAAACTAAAGCAGAGATCTGGATAGGACTTCATATTCAGTTCCATTTACATGGGATCTAAACCAAAATCTGTAGAAGAGTTAGAGAAATGAATATGTAAAGGATTAACGACTGTAAAAGAAAATACCATGGAAGCTCACTGTAATATTTATTATTTCCAGCAGAAAAGAATCTCGTTTAGGATTGATCTGCTTAGTATCACTCTTCAAATGGTTAATTACCAAAATATCAAAAGGATCTTAATACAAAGCAGCTTTACTAACAGGTAGTCCCATAGTAGGTTGATGAAACTGGCATTAAGGTGTGACTTCAGGATATATGTTTTTGTGTATTGTGCTACTGACTGTCATATGAAACTATCAGTGGTAGTAGAAGCAAGCCCCAAACTATCAAAGAATTATAAAGTTAAAGAAGTATATCTATCTATATTTGTTCAGCTGTTTCAGTCATGTCTGACTCTTTATGACCCCATTTGGGGTTTTCTTGGCAAAGATACTGGAATGGTTTGACATTTCCTTTCTTAGCTTATTTTGCAGAGTAGGAAACTGAGGCAAACAGGGTTAAGTGACTTGCCTAGGGTCACACAGCTAGTGTCTGAGGACAGATTTGAAGTCAGGTCTTCCTGACTCCAGGCCTGGCTCTCTATCCACTATGCCACTTAGCTGTCTTATTTTTTTTTTATATATGTGTGGTATCATTTAGAGGGGAAGTTCAGAAACACTCAGACAAATCACCTCCAAATAAATACCAATCAGCTTTGCATCTGGGCAAACATATACATATACATACACACATATATATATATAACATCATTGATTGGAGCACACATTTGATTAAGCTTGGAGGAATGTTGTGGCAGAGAGAAGATGGGATCATTAGTAAAAGAAAAGCCAGACTGAGGGCAGATTGAAGTATCTGATTTTTAGTGCCAGAAGTAGGAAGAAGAAGAGGGAGAGATGATAGTGGAGGGTTTACTCACGGAGAGAAAGAGGAAACACCACACTGACTGCTTAAGATGGTGACAAAGAACAGATAGTCAAAGAGAAAGCAAATGCCAATGTTGGGAGAAAGTGGAAATTCCTCAGCCATATTCAAGGTCCTTCAATAACTGGTCCAACATTACCTACCCAAACTTCTATTTTACTACTTGTTGACTCAGCCAGCCTATCTTCTCACGGTGCCTCTAAATACCCTTCTTATTCACATCTCCATGACTCTGTTCTTGACAATTGTCAGAGAATGCTTTTTGGTCTCCTCTCGGAGGCCAAACCTCCAAAATAATCAGGGCCACATTCAGAACATTTTCCTTTATGAAGCCTATCCTTGTCATTCCTGTTGCTTGGTCTTGTCTCCACTCCTTATTCCTTTGGCATTCAACTAATAGTTTATAACTAATCTTGGGGCTGCATCTGCATGATGTGTTCACAACCCTGCTTACTGATAACTCTCAAATTGTATTCTAGCTTTATGTATGTAACTGATCTTCCTGTCTAGGCAAGAATCATCTAAATATATATACCCTACGAGAGTGGGGTATATAGCAAATGTTATTGGATTGCTAAATAGCAATAGCAGCTAGGTGGTGTAATACATAGACAGTCGGGTTTGGAGTCACGAAGACCTGATTTCAAATCAGTCCTCAGACACTTAATTAGCTATGTGACCCTGGGCAAGTCACTTAACCCTGTTTGCCTCAGTTTCCTTATCTGTAAAATGAATTGGAGAAAGAAATAGCAAACCATTACAGTATCTCTGCCAAGAAAATCCCAAATGGGGTCACAGAGAATTTTGAAATGACTGAAAAACAAAAATAACAAACTTATAGAACATTTATTTGGCTTTGAGACTAAGGAAGAATAAATAGATTTTTTTAAAAAAAATCTATTATTAAGTAACAAATTTGGAAAAGTCTCTTATCAATTATTGTTTAAAGACTTTAGAAAAACAGGTAAAAAGATTCTTTTTGTTCAAACTCTATAACTTTGCACTGGTCATCCCCTATGCCTGGAATATACTTCCTCCTCACCTGTAACTCAAATAATCCCTAACTTCCTTTAAGACATTACTCAAGGACCTCTTTCAATACCAGAGGTGTGTAGGTCTGAGATTGGGGAACCAGAATAGAATGTAACTGGGAAGTGTTTAACAAAATAAATTAAAAAAAAACAACAACATAAAAACATAATTTGAGATTTTTTTTTTAGTCAATATGCAGTTCCAGGGACCTGTTTCTATTTGAGTTTGACACTACTGTTTGACATTACGTGTTTCCAGATCCCCCAAATGGTTAGTGTCCTCCCTAATTAACTACCTTATGTGTAATTACTTTATATTTATTTTGTATTCAATTACTTTGTGTATAAACACACATAAACAGACATTCTTTGGAGAGATGTGGCTTAATGAATAGTGATGGACTGAGTTCATAAAATAAATTTGTATCAGGCTGTTTAGCTCTGTGACTTGAGACCCCAAGGCTGCCTAACGGAGCTCTGTGGAGTCAGTAAGTGGAGAAGTGTGTGCTTGGTTTCTCCACAAAACTCTGGCAATATTGTCTCCACGGAATGTGGTAAATCTGAAAGCTCAAAATGTGGATGGATCCTGGAGCTAGCCTCTAGGTGAGCAGAGACAAATATTTAACCCTACTTGTACTATGAATATTAGCATCATCTTCAAGAAAACATTGTATTTGAGTTGGACATCTCTGCCGAACTCTGCAAACATTCTCTGGAATCTCTCATTCCAGAGGTTTCTCTATTGTCCCATTGTGTCCTCTGGAAACCCCATAGGGCTGGAAGAGACAGAAGCAATCTAGTCCAAACTTCTCATCTCAGAAATGAGGAAACAGGCTTATGGAGGCTAAGTCACTTGGCAGAGGTGATGCACAAGAGGTCGGGCTGCAAGCAAGTTATTACGATATAATGTAATGTAATGCAATGCAATGTAATTTAATGTAATGTAATATAATAAATACATATTTTATGTCATGTTGTGTTGTGTTATGTTGTGTTATGTTACATATCATAACTCTGTTGCTTCACTGCTGGTAACATATGGTACTATTGATCATATTAAGCTGATGCTTTCCCCCTGAAAATAATTTTGAATATATTTTGAATATATTTTGTACGTAATATTTATGTATGTGTTGTTTCTTCCCAATAGAATATAAGCTCTTTGCAGGACGGGGATGTCCATTATGATTTTGTTTATGACTGGGTTTGTATTCCCAGTTCCAAGCACAATGCCTTTTGAATTAAATTGAATTGAGTTGGAGATAGTATCTAGTCCAAGTTCTATGACTCAGGAGTTATGTGACTTCACGTACATTATTTAATTTCACTGAGTTTTAGTTATTTAATTTTTAATATGGGATAAACTATATAATTTTAAAGTTCCTTCCAGCACTGTAACTATGATAAACACAATACTATTTTCAAAGTAAAGCAAGTAGAAAAAAACGGTTATCTAGAACCACAACTTGGATACCTGCAAGTAAGAAAAAAAAATCTTTCAATGCGAACATTGATGAGAAGAAAGAGTAATTTAGTGGACAAAGTGTCAGGAAACCTGTATACTTATTCCACTTCTGACCTGTACTTGTAATTTGGACAAGTCACTTTATTCCCTCTGAATCTGAGTTTCTTTACCTCTAACATGGGAATGACAATACTTGCACTACTTATTTTACAGGGTTGATAGAAAGAAGATTTGTTGCAAACTTTAACACTTATTACAAGTCACTGCTTGTGAACAGAACTTTGGGGAACATAATAGTACTCATTCTTTTTTCCCCTAGCCTAGAACTTCACTGACTATATTCAATACTGTTTTATAACTTGAAATATATTGAAACTCTACAAGAATTTATCTGCACAAAAAGTGTGAAATATTTAACTTTATAATGTCTCATCAGGAACAGAGAATTGAAGTAACAAATTAGAAAGGCATAAAAGATCATATTTTTTTTTTGCATGAGAATTGAGCTCTATCATACCTACAGTAAAATGAAAGGAGGTCTACCTTTTCCAAATATAAAGCAAATTCTCACAGTCCCTCTGAGAAAGCAACAGGAACATTAGCACAGGTGGAATGTTTTAATTGGACTCTAGGAATAACTTATTGCTGGAAAAAATACAAAGTAATCACTGTCACACAGTAAAATTGGCTGTAATTTCAGAACTAGGTGTAAGAAGGAGACAGTAAAAGACATCAAGTAGGAAGTTAAGTGCCCTACTCTTCCATTTTCTAGGATCATAGTTCCATACTCATTATTTAGTTTAGCTGCAATGGAGCCTATGAAGCAAGGTAAGTATCCTGCTTATGACTGGGGTGGTTGTGGGGAGGGGAGAGAGAGAGAGAGAGAGAGAGAGAGAAACTGCTGTTTAGCAATTCCTCATTCCATCTTGGCAACTCTAGAGAAAAAAATACAGAAGTTAGTCCTTAGCTCTCAGTGACAGAACTTCAGGGATGGTAACAGAGGATAAGAAGAAGAACATTAGAAGGAAGTGGGGAAAAATCAGGACTTAGAGAATGAGAATAAAAGGTTTACTGTACAAATTCATCTCAACTCAGTTCAAAATACATTCATTAATTGCTCGTATGTTCATGAAACTGTGTCATTTGCTATAAAGAACAGGGCTTTTCCCATTCCTAAAAGAGGTTTTATTTGTTTGTCCTAAGAAAAACGTAAGAAGAAGTCACTAAAATTCTGACATTGCATTTGGTGGGGGAAACAGTAGCACTCTTTTTTTTTTTTTAAGTGAATAGCTGGTAAACATAAAAATTCAATAAAAAATTATGTTTGATAAACACATAAAACTTCTAAAAATAAGTTTAAAATAACTTGGGAAAGATGGAGATTATTTTTATGACAATTAATTGAATCAGTTTTGAAAAGGATTAAATTGGTAATGAAAATTATAGTGAGTCCTTCTGCCTAAAGGACAAAAGCTACACCTATGGTAGGATGCCCCCAATGGAATGTAACACCCTGTGCCTCTTTTTCCATGGCATTTCAGACATGTTTCCATGGGAATCTGTGTTTCTGAGAAATTCAATAAGACAGAAGCTTTGGCATAACGATGATGTTTTCATGCATACCTAAAACAACTGATATTTTTAGGCACCATCAACGTCTATACCTTAAGGTCAATTCCACGAAGACCATTTCCATTTCCATTGGCTGTTAAGGTTTGCAACACACCTTCTTTATATCAGCCTTCTAAAGTAAGTAATGCAAGTATTATCATTCCCATTTTAGAGATAAAGAAACTTAAACTCAGAGGGAGTAAAGTGACTTGCCCAAAGGAAACGGTCACTTGTCACAGGTCAGAAGTGGAATAAGAATACAGGTTTTCTGACGCTATGTCCATAGTTCATTCCACTACATTACTCTTTCTCTTCATCCTGTCCACAACCTCTAGCTACTAGAAATTGGCAATATTAGACTGAAAAAGTAGATCTTTTACTCATGGAATATTTATTTGAAAAAATACTTTTTACCTTTCCTTTTGTTCTTTTTATATGTATTGTGGAAAGTGATTCTTTCTTACTGGTAATTTCAACAGGAAAAGAGAGAGAGGAGAGGGTATTCTAGGCAGGATAGTATCATAAAGACAATAGGATGTTTGGGGAATAGTCAATCAATAATCACTCAGACATGACTGAAAACAGCTGAACAACAACAAAAACCAAATTTGGCTATTGAATAGGGGAAGTCGTAAATTAATTGGAAAGGTAGGTTTGAACTATATTATGGAGAACCTTGAATGCCAAGTAAACGAATTTTTTCTTTATTTGGTAAACAAGCAGTTATAGAAAAATGTAATATAAGAATTGAACCTCTGAAAGATTAATCTACTATCCTTCTGTGGGATAGGCAGCTAGATAGCCCAGTAGATAGAACACTAGATCTGACTTCAGAAAGACCCAAGTTCAGATCTAGCCTCAGACACTTATTAGCTGTGTGACCCTGGGCAAGTCACTCAACCTTTGCCTGCTTCATTTTCCTCATCTATAAAATGGGGATGATAGCTCCTATCTTCCAGGGAATGCTACGAGCATCAAATGAGATAATATTTGTAAGTGTTTTGCAAATCTTGAAAAGTTATAAAAATGCTATCACAATAATAAAGATAGCAACAGAAATAATGATCATCATAATTATTAATGCATACAATTACTATTAATTCTACAGATATTATAATAATTATTATTTCTGGCTCCAATATATCATCATCATCTTCTTCCTGGGCTGGGATCCTTTTTCTTCCTATCTATTTCTGTGACTTCCAGCACCTTTTTAGGCCTCAATTTCTTCACCTATAAAATATGTGGTTTGAAGTGGAAGATATCTAAGGTCTCATCTCATTCTAAATCTTATCAACCTATGTTTCCAGGCTCCCAGAGGATTGGAAGCATCCAGAGCAAATGCCTCTTCTGAATTAGGTTTTCAGATATGAGTGGAAGCATTCTTATTGAAAGTTGAATTGAATTCAGCATACCAGATGTTAGGAGAGGAAGAAGTGGAATTTTAGTGGCATAGTCTCTATCAGAAGAAAGAGCTACCTACGTTAGCTTGGGTAGATAGGAAGGAAAGAGTGGGCCAGGAAAATTCTGTGTGGGTGCTAAAACATTCAGGATGAAAACAGTAGCTATTTGCAAATACAGTTAGAAACCTCAGGATTTAAACCTATCTATAGATGATTTCCTCTTTTCTTAACTTTTCTCTCTGTTCCTCTGCCTGTACATATTCATTCTTGGAAATTGTGTCTTCAGTATGCCAAAAGAACTTTTGTGGGAAAAAAAAACTCCACCCTTTTTACGTGGAATAACATTGCTATAACATATGGTGGATTTACATTTTTTAGCTTTCTGGCTGCTGTCAGGTAGGCACAGCCTAGACAGCCTGAAACCCCTGCCTTTACCCCTTTTTCACATTTTTCCTGACTTTCAAAGCAACTATTCTACACCAGAGGCTTTCAGGAGAAAAGGTGGGTTTTCTTTGTTGTTGTTGTTTTGTTTTTTGTTTTTGTTTTTGTAGTTGTCAGTTCAATTGTTGTTCAAAAGTTGTGAATTCAGTGGGTCTTAGGCTGGCTGGAAATCATAAAATGAGGAAGAGAAGCTTTTAGTCTTTGGAATATAATTTATAAAGCAAGAGGGGAAAAAAAAAGCCTTCTTTCCTCACCTTACCAAACTCTTATTAAAAACAAATCTGTGTGGATGCATTCATTCAGTTATTATCTATGGAGGCCTACTATTTACATACATGAGGATATTAAAAACATATTCTTCTCACATAAAAAACTCGGAAGACATTCAAAATTATTTGAAATTTCTAAATGCTAGCAAACAACTGTGATCTCAGCAATATGGGTATTCCCTTTACTGACAGATTGTATCCGCCAGAAGAGATGAATTAGTTTGTTAGTTATATCAATGTTTAAGACAGGGTGGGGAACCTGCGACCTCGAGGCTACATATGGCCCTCTAGATCCTCAAGGGCACTCTGTCTCCACCTCCTTCTTCAATCAAAGGGCCACATTTGAGGACCTAGAGGGCCACATGTGGCCTCAAGGCCTCAGCTTCCCCACTACTGGTCTAAGATGACTATTTAAAACAACAACAAAAAGATGTACATTTTCAAATAATAATTCTGATGAAATGCTCCAAGTGATTTGGCTACTTTTTCCACATATCTATCTTAGGTACCATTTGTTAACAGCCAAGATCACTTTCCTTTATATCTGCTCCTCCCCCTAAACCTTCTTTAAATCGTGACATTGGGCTCATTTCTCAAGTTACTTGGTTGTGGGAAAAAAAAATTCTAAAAGTCAATTCTTTTTTTCCTCCCACTCACATTTTCTCATAAGAATTAAAAAAAAAAACAAAACAATTCTCTTTTCACGTTAAATAAGATGAGGTGGTCAGAAAAATCTCAGTGTCTCAAAAGTAATACAAAACTCTAGCCACCTTATAATGGTGAATTTTATTTCAAGCAGGTTGTGTTAGACAGATAACGAATTGAAGAAGCATAGTCTACCCACCAAACCATGCCTGCTGATCTCCTTGGACTTCGATGGCCAACCCGAAGTCCGCCAGTTTCACAGCTGCTCCTTTGGATTTGCTAGCTAAAAGCAAGTTCTCAGGCTTTATTTAGAAAGAAAAAAAAAGATTGTGATAAGAACACACTTTAAGCTATTACTAATAATTAACAATATCTGAACTTAAAAAAAAAAGAGAGAAAGAAAAAAAAAAGTCATGCATCGTCCTCTCCACAGGAGAATGTCATTCCTAAAATCCCAGGGAAAATATGGTTAGCAAATCATTGGAAAATGGCATGTGGGCAGGTTTCAGACAGATGCATAACCTTACTGAAGAGCATATGGGATGGAGAAGAAGATATGCTTGGGGAAATTTCATGATGAAGGTTAGCACCTGTCTCTGACCTACTCACACACTTCTGAAAGCCCCTTCAGGAACACCAGGCTACAGACAGTTATTTAAAAGATCTTTTTTTTTTTTTTTTAACAAAGCACAAATATTCTCAGCAGTGGTGAACTTGGTAAAGATTATAACAAGATTTGGCTCTATAGACATTTGGCAAACCCTTTAATGAATTTTAGCACAAATCAAATCCTAGATGATGCAAATATTTTTTATCCAATTGTGATATTTTCGATCCCTTGATGTTTTTAGACAATTCTGTACAATACTCATATACTCATGTTGATTTTAATTTATATGCTTAAGTTGCTATTTTTAGAATTTATTCTTTAAAGAGAAGATTAAAATTGCTATTTGCCAAATGTTATAGTTCAGGGCATTAGACTGTTTTCAATTCTAACTAAAATTTTTAATTCAGTATTAATTTTTTTTCGGAAGGCAAGTCAAATATTTTTTAATTACATTTCATTTTCTTAAGAATAGCATGAGGAAAATAATTTCCTTAGATATTTATCATTCCTTTAGGACTGACAGTTTGATCTAGGAATGAGGCTGTGTCTACACCATTGTTTCCCAACCAGTACATCAAGACACATTGATTCTTTAAAAAAAAATACCATTATTGCATGACAAGGCATAGGTTTCCTTTGTCCCCTTTGATTAATTCTGGCCATATATTTAGAAATGGTAGGAGAGGTAATTATAGTGGAGAAAAGAAGGCTGATGCATGGTGTGCATGTGGCAAATAGGTTGGAGAGGAAGATGATGCATAGTGTACATGCAGAAGTGTGCATGAATGAATTTGCACACACGTGAGTTTGTGGGGGGGGTAGTGTAAGAGTGTGGATAGACCGATGATAAGGTTGATAGATGGCTGCAGTGGCAAATGAGGCCATTCCTGGCTATGTCCCAGAAAATGTGTCATAGATGTGTCATAGACAAGAAGGTTGGGAAACACTGGATTTGATATTGCCAAAACAATTGTTTGAAAAATAAAAAAAAGAAAAAATCCATCAACTAGATGTCTGACTCTTCAATGGAAGACAAATGATTTTGTTTTCTTGCAGAAATAACTATTTTCTGACCAAGTTGGTTTATTCTTCTGGTTGTTTTGACCTTTTGTAAACACAACCTAAGTCGGTATTAAATGTATTAGTTAAGTCAGCCATGCAAATTAGCAGAGACCCATAAACCAAAGACTTAAGGAAATTAGCTGAAGCCTAAAATAAACCAGATTATGGGGAAGTAAGTATTGAAATAAAATATCATACTCTTTCAGGCTCCTGATGCTCACTGCCATCAGATTCATTGCTACTAAAATACTTGTTAAGAATGGGAAGTTTTAGAAATTTTTGAGGGCCAACAAATTCTTGTTTAACTTATCTTTATAGCTTATCATGTGACAATTAGAGTAAGGGTGGGGGCTGAAGATACCTTAATATTATGAAAAATATTTCTATGTTTCTGAAGTTTAAGTAAGTCACTAAAATTTTACATTCTTGACTTTTCAAATGATGTCAAAATATTAATATTTGACATATTTTAATGACCAAAAATTAGTCAACAAAATGAACTGTATTCTTTTAAATTATACTTTCAGTTATCATTTTCTTGAATAAATGAGCGACTTAAAGAGAAACCACATAGAACTTTAAGCAATGGTTCATTCTATGTCTTTGTTGCTTCACAATTCCAAGGCATCAAAGTGTCATATAGTTTTCCAATGATACACACACACATTTTAATTCATCAACCACACATTGATTTCATAATGTTAATGTCACAGGAAGCAAGAACTGCAATCATCTTTAAGATCATTGAGAATTTTTAAGTATCAAGTGGGGTTGGATTGTTTTGAGTAAATGCCATTGTATTTTGTATATAAACTTCAATTTGTATAAAAGGGCATTTAATCGTATTACAAAATCAACAACCTTCTGGGCACTACTGTGTGCCCTTAGACACCAGGCAGCTGCCAATTTAGGATAAATGGAATGCCTTAGATGTTTATCATGCATGAACTTTGAATGACTGGGGCATCTATTCGTAACTACAGAGACCTGGAAGACTTCACAGCACTACCTTGTGAGTCATCCAGGAAAATAACAAATCAGTTCAGATTAGGGTGCTATATATTTTACCCATGAAGACTGTTCAGCTGCAATTATGTACATGAAAAAGGCAGAGCTATTTGAAAACATTAGGTAGTTTATCATTATTATCACTGGAGTTATTTATTTTTAAGCACTATGTACATGTATACACATATGTATATATGCACACACGCACACACACCCATATATAATCCTTCAGGCAAATCTATCATCTAAAACTATGAATTTGTCAATCAGATAAAGTAAGAAATTAGTAGAGCAATTGTTCACCTTATGAAAAAGATACTTTAAAAAAAAATTTCATCATAGACTTTTTTTGAATAGGTCTCTCCAAGATCATTAAAGTACAATTCAGTTTATTTTTTAAAAATGATTTACATATATCTTTTTAGACTATATCTATTATGTAAAAGTATATGTCTATTTGAGCATATGCTTGTGCCTGCATGGTATCCTAAAAGTCTTAGTTCAGTTTAAAGATTAATAGCATCTTTATAATAAATTATAAATGTATATAATAACTAATAATAATAATAACTCTGTATTATAAACTGAACTCCAAGAAGATGAAGGAAAAGCACAGATTCACAGATTCTTTTGAATTATAGTAAAAGGGATTTTAAAGGTCATTTGGTCCAACCTTCTCATTTTACAGATAAGGAAAGTGAGGACCAGAGAAGTTAAATGGTTTTCCCAAGGTCATACAGTAGTAAACTGAAACATCTAGCATATAAGCCCAGGTCATACACAAGCCCAATCAGCTTTTCCACAGTACCAGAAGCTTTCCTCATTATAATTTTCTAGTTTATAAGGTTGAATCAATTCTCTCTGACTTCTTTTAAATGTACTATGGAATTTTGTTATTGTTCAGTCATTTCAGTCATACCTGACTCTCCATAACCCCATTTGGGGCTTTCTTGGCAAAGACACTGGAGTGGTTTGCTATTTCCTTCTCCAGCTCATTTTACAGATGAGGAAACTGAGGCAAACAGGGTTAAGTGACTTGCCCAAGGTCCCACAGCTTTTAAGTATCTGAGGCAACTCAGGAAGATGAGCCTGATTCTGAGCCCAGTGTTCCATTGACTGAGCCACCTAGCTTCCCTTCATGGAATAAGTTCCAACTTAAAGAAACCATCTTTCTAAATCTTTTTCTTGGAACGTAGTATACATTTTTCCTGTATAAAATGATGTTACCAAAGGTGGTTAGGCTCTTGGGTGTTTTAATACCCGAAAATAATTTTATTCCATAAAAAAGTGCAATTATCTCCGTAAAAACTAAACCTCTGGATTAAAAAATGGAATTCCTTTTCTTTCTTGCAGTTTTGGTGACTATACTGGAAACATCTTCCCTTTTGAACTAAACATTTAGCAATAGCATTCAGTTTGTGACCACTTGTTCTAAAAGCCTATGAAGGGATCAAACCTCCCCAGTCCTTAACACGGCTATCTCATCATGATTTTGTGCAGAATATTTGTATGTCAGATGCTCATAAGTTGGGGGATGTTTAAACTATGAAGTCCAATGTATTTAACACTAACAATGAAGTCCAATGTATTTAACACTAACTACAGTTAGGAACTACTATGTAAGAGCTTAAAACGAAAATGTTTTTGAGATGTGTCTTAAGTTTGTTCTGTTGCCACACCCACAGATAGGCTTCTTATCCATTTCTCTGCTCCCTAATGATGTAGGCTTTTCCATGACATCTGCTCATAGTGTCAACAACCACGAATAGCATAGCAGATGTAATACATAGCAACTGTTGCCAGTCCCCCCCAATATTTCCAGTATCATCTTTCACTATGATTTGAGAACTCTTTGAAACTACACAAAAGATTCTGAGGTACCCAGGCACGTAGCTTCAAAGGAAGTAAGGGATATGACTTAAAGATTGGTACTCTATGATAACTATAAATTCTTGATTCTCTATCAATTTAGAGAACCACAGAATCCTAGATTTAGAGCCGAAAGGGACTTGAGGAATGTCGAAGGTTCAACCTCTTCATTTTACAGATGGGGAAACTGAGGTCTAGAGAAGTTAAGTGTCTTGTCCAAGGTTAGATTTGTAACAAGGAGAATCGGCTTTATAATCAGCTTAGGAGAACTCAACAGCCTTTTAAACTTCAAGACAAATCGAAACAAACAAAACACCAGTCTCATTTATGATGAAAATCTCTCTCTCTCTCTCTCTCTCTCTCTGTGCTTGCCTGCCTGTCTGTCTGTCTATCTCTCAATTCAACACCATGTTTTCATTAGTATAATGAACTTCTGGAGAGAAAATGTCTTCTACCAATGTAGATGATGAGCAGCTATTCTACAACTTACAGTCTTAGAGCATTGACTGGAGGCAATAAGAAGTTAAATGACTTGCCCAGGGTCCCAAAGTCAGTATATATCATATACTAGAATCCAGCTCTTTCTGATTCTGAGCTAAGTTCTTCATTTATTTCATGCCATCCAAAGTCTTATGATCCCATAATTCAATAGCTTTGACTTAGAATGACTGTTACAAATAACTAGCATAAATATGATTAATGAGAATCTTCATCACTACTAACAACATATCATGCTTATTTTGACTTCTAATA